TTGCAAAACGTATTGAAATGAACTTATTGCACATATTAAACCTGGAACTAACAAAGCTTAAATGATTGCCTATAAAAACAACATTAAATAATCAGTTGTATTAATTTCTCATGGCTCTATCTGCAGCTTTTCTGGAGTCATTTCTTATGGTTGCATTTTTCCACAGGCCAACAACAGCTTCAACAAAACTATTTCCCTCAAAGAACAAACCAAACATGCCCTGTTGTCGTGAGAGACAAAGTGCAGAAGGAAACATCCATGTAAACTCCGTGTGCTGCTCTGTGATGCTAGTTCAGATACTTGGCATCTCATCTTGGGTGCAAGTTCATCAATGTTTGGGGTCAGGCTCTGAGCTGAGGAGACCCTCAGGATGGAGTGAAGGTGTGCGTGCAATATACCGGCGGGCCAGATCTAATATTAATTACAAATTAGATTTGGCCCGCTGGCCTTGAGTTTGACACACGTGAGCTATGTGACAATTGAAAATACTGTTGCTTTACCTTATCATTATGAAGTAAATATTGATTAATGACTTAATCCCAGTTTAGATAAAAAAGCCTTACTTCTTTACTAATCTACTGCTAGGGTTGTCTTTCTATTCCTTTATCATTTTTCTATTTTCCAAGATACAAGATTCATAATAAAAGTTTTCTTTAAAATCTGACCTCTAAAAACAAACGTCTACTTAATCCACACAACAGCATCAAAAACAGCAATTCTTGAACCACAGGTTACCTGTTAAGGGTACCTGCATGCCACAAAATGGAACTGGGTTATGTTTTTATATTTAACAACCAAGTGATTGACCTTTTAGATGTCACTAGAACTGCCAAATAAAATCCACAAATTGTGTTTATCATATTTTCCCATTGCCAACATACAGTGAGTCTGTAGCCTCCCTCACTCTGTGTTGATACTTCCATAAAATCTCTGCTGGGTTTATATATCTGTCCAAGAATAGCTCAGCCAATCACAAGAGACACCAATCACAGGTGTCAAATGTCACTTTAAATCAAACAGATGAATCACTGTGACAAAACAGAGCCAGAATTCTGCTTAATCTGATTGGTGGAGAGAGTTCTAAACCACCCAGCAACAGTTCCTGGTGGACACGCTAACCAATGAGAGTGAGAGGGAGGGAGTGGACACTATTTTTGACTTTGGCTAATATTACCTCATATGCAGGCGTTGGTTGTCAGTTATGAAGCATGTTGGTACATATACAGGTGACAAAGATACACACCAAAAGGAGTTAGTCTAAAACTATTGGTTTAAAAGCTGTTTTGTTGAACTTTTTAGAAAATATAGCTTTCTGCTAATCCAGATTGATTCAATGACTGGCTCTTTGACCTCAATCACACTTGGCATTATCAATCTAGTATCCGGGTTAAATCCAAAGAAAATATTAAAGTGTAAACATGTAGATGGGGATCTTTCACCAGAAATGATAAGTCTAACACCGCCATATTTCTGCAGTCTCAGGACAGACAAACCGAACTGTGTAAATCGTACTTAAAGTACAAACAATAACCAAGACAAAGGTTTTATCTTCTTACTGTACAGTCCAATCCAAACCCATTATTAATTGTTATGTATTCATTAATAAAGCAACTTGTTAGTGACACATGCAGATTACCCCTTCAGTTGAAATGATTGTGTCACTCATTTGGTCTCTTGTTCCTTAACCTGTATCTTCTAAATGTTATTGTATTATTATATTGCTGCTGCAACACAAAAGTGTCCCAAATTGGGATCAATAAAGTACTATCTTATCTTATCTTATAGAGCATTGGGCCACAAAGCATTATCAAATCACCGCAGTGCTTCACTTTTGGGTCAAGCACCGACTCAATCTACAACGGCTCTGGGTCCACTTGGACCCAGAGGTGGGAAGTAGTGGAGTACAAATACTTCGTTACAGTCTTAAGTACATTTGTCTGGTGTCAGTACTTTACTCCACTACTTATTTTTCTGACAACTTTTTACTTTTACTTCTTACATTTTGAACACAAATACCTGAACTTTCTACTTCTTACATTTTGAACACAAATACCTGTACTTTCTACTTCTTACATTTTGAACACAAATACCTGAACTTTCTACTTCTTACATTTTCCAAACAGGCTGGTTCCTTTAGTTTGAATGTGTGTTTGGTGGCGTGATCATTATTATTTAGAGTCATTGCGTGCCTATTGATTTGAACACGATCCGTGTATCCATCATTTCCTGGTCTTCTCTAAAGAAGAGGGACCAATGAAANATTTAGACAGCACACACACACACACACACACACACACACACACACACACACATCTTCGATGTGTAAAACCCCACACGCCTTCAGAAAGTGCAAAGCAGCCTGTACAGTGAGCACATGTTGTGATGCTGAAGGATAATGAAG